ATAAGAATAACAACAAGAATAACAACAACAATGCCCTTTGTTTCTTACCAAATTTTCCCCATAAAAAATCTTTATCTTATACCACAGAGCATTATCCTCTGATCTCCAACCCTTATTTATTCCAGTATTTGTCTTTTCTAATTCCTCATCATTGTTCACCTTCATACTATTCATATCAATTCCATAGCCATAACATTTCACGTCTCCAGCCTAGAGGTGGCAATCGGTCGGGCAAGGGACAGGTGAGTGCACTCGAATGTCTTCATTTGCTCTCCCACCTGACGTTAGAAGATAAGGAGAGAGACAGTAGAAAGTCGGGTAAGCTCACCAGGCCGTTGCTCGCCCGATTGCCAGCTCTATCCAGCCACAGCTACAAAGTTGCTTATCGAAGTGTATTCAGAAAAGTGATGAGCTTGGCAATGCCTGGGCTGGGCAGTCGCTATTTAGCTGTTGACAGTTCAGCACTACACTGATCACATACTGATACAGCACTTGGTAGCATCATAGCCCATCTGGCCATTGCTTAGTCTAGACCGCTAGTGGTTCTAGCAGATGTAGCAAGCTCAAAATGATAACTGTCCTTATATTTTCGTATAATATTGGTAGTTGGTTAGTATTTGTGTGAGAATGTGTGCGTGTGAGTGTGAACGAAAGGCGTGAGCTGGTGAGAAAGAAAACCGTTAGATTAGCAGCTGGTTTGTGTTAGCCGGCACCTTAACATTTTAGTATTTAGGTTTTGAAAGCGGGGTTGGAAATGGGTGCCAAGAAGAAAACAGCATTCTCGCTGCTAGCGAGGAAAACAACGGCTGACATGACTTCTATTTATCTTCCTTACGTACGACTTTTACTTCTTTGTTCTCTATTTTATACTTTTTTAAATAATGCTTACGCTAATCTGTTTTTGTTGATGTGAGTGCTTAATAAGTTACGATTTCCTGGACGTCGATGAAATCTGTCTAAAATTCTAGGTTTAAATTGTGTTGAATCCTGCATGCAATTGCCATTTAGTTGTTTTGTGATAAGATGTGCACGGTCGAAAAACAGTTAACGGTTTTATCAGTAATTTGACCTGCGGTGGCTCAAGGCGAGCCTCTGGACGCGAAAATGTTTTTCGACGGTGTACTCTGCAATTGTGCAGTAAAAGCTTTCAGTGTTCCGTTTTGACTGTGCATGTTTCGCTGGTTATTTGAACTGAGTATGGTTGCTCTCACGTGTGTTGTATAGTTTCACCTCTTTGCATGACGGGATACGCATGATGTACCGATGTCTGTTGTCCGCGTCACAACCTCCTGTACAGATCACACTGTAGCTCACAAAGCTCCCCCATTGTAGCTATTTGCCCTTAGGACTGTCTATGGATGTGTCAACTATATTGCGGCAGCCGTATCGAACAATGTTTCAGTAACCAGTGAGTTCTCTCTGTCTCCATAAATCTAAGTTTTCGACAGACCACTATCGCACACATGTCTCACAAAGTCTGTCTGGTAAAATTAAAACTTCAGTTTCCGGCTACTGCATTCGTAGATGATGCACTCATTAACCCCAGGCAGACCTGCGCATTCCTTCCCCGCCCTCTGAGATACTCCCAAACCAAATGCTGCAAGGCCTTTAAAGAAATTAAAAAGGTAAGTAGTTATCTCTCTTTGTTTTGAACATTCGCCACAGTAATAAATAATTCACTGAATTGATAAGTAAAGTTGTATTTACACGAGGCCCGTACAAAGATTTCATTTGTACTGAAAATAAGTGAGCTGTATCAGAGGAAGGTGTTGGACGGCGCAGAAAATAGCCGTGTCTCTCAACAGGTACTTCTAAATTTGTTCGTATCTTAATGTTCCAGGCCTGTGAAAAAAAACCTTGTAATTTTCAATGCAAATTCGATAAATATTGTCCTCCGTGTCGATTTAACTTGAGTATTTTCTGCATCTTTACTATCCGAGAACACAAATATAACTAGAAGAAAGTAATTTAAAGAGGCCTTGTCGGAGACACGTTGAAAAATCGCAAGGATTTTTCTCACAGATTGTAATGTGTTTTGCCGGACAAAACTGGTAAAACAGTTGTTGAAGTGGTATTTATGTTTGCAAAGGCATTGTGTATGTGTTAGTAGCTTAGTCAATGTGTACGTCCGTGTGTGCTAAGGCATTGATGCATTTACCTTTCAGTTTGGTGTATTTGAATCTTCTTTAAGCATTGAGTCACTGTTGTCTTTGGCAACACATGCACTTCATGCTCAACGTTTCCCAGGAATACATATTTTCTGTCAAGGGCACTATTTTGTGTCTCTGAGTATAAAAATGTGTATCCTCGCAGGAAACATACTAGATCCCAACTTTACCTCTCGATCTTGTTTACCTTATAAAATAAATGTCTTAGAAACACAATTTTTTTTTTAGAGAAAATCATTTCAAAATTGCGGATTTGAGTCTGTTAAAGGTAGATTTTAAAAAAATTGGACTTTTCTGACAGAGTAAATTTCCGTGTAAGGTAAACAAGAGAGTGAGTTAAACGTGGTCATGTTGATATCGTATAAACCATGTATTTGTTGTTCGTCATGATGTGTGCTTATTGGTTTATGATTTCTTTCTTGCTACTTTGCTGACATTTGCTTGTTCTGTTCTCTCTCTCCTGTCTCTTGGCTCTGCATGGCTCGTCCTGGCGACTTGGCCTCCGTTCGCCTTCTCAACCAACTCGGAACCGGCAAATCATCATCAATCGTGCGTTATTATCACCACGATGACATTACTCGCCCCATATTTGCCGAATGCAAAATTTGGCAATTGGAATATTTTTCACTCTGCATTCACCAAATTCTCCTCTGAATATCTATTGGGTTTTTATCACTCTATATAGAAAATTACCACAGCACAAACACAGTATTTCTAGTCATCATGTTGATGTCAGTAGTAGGGGGTGTTTTCATTCTATTTGCTCTCGTGGCATTATGCTACAGGTCAGTCGTAGTACACAAAAACTTCACTCTCTGCCTAAGGTTAGTCAGCAGACCCAGAGGTAGATTCCTCAAATTTACAATTTTCCCAAGACTTCTTCACTTTTTGGCACTCTTTAGCACAGTCTAATCTCTCTAACCAATCCTTGCTATCCTTGTAGAAGGGAAAACGCATCCGCCACTAAGTGAGTCCGTGGCGAGCGCTCAGGCCCTACTGGCGCAGCCCTGCCCGCATCCAGCGCGGCAGCGCCCTGCTTTACCACCCTCTCTTCGACCCACAAGATCCCTCCCACCACCATTCCCGCTCCGCGCGTCCCGCCCACCGGCTAGCCGTGCCTCCCGCCCGACCCACATTCCAGACCAGACCCGGCGCCGCATTATAGGAAGGCCCTTTTGCTCTCTGTCTTTTCCCTCACGATTGGCAAAACTGGGCACACCGTGATGCTGGCGAATGCGTTTTCCACAAGGCTTAGTAAAATATCCTTATCTCCTCTGTACCTTCTAAAGCTATCTGTCTACTTCGCCCCTCTGTGTGTAGATCCTACTATTTTGTATATACATAGTTTTGTTATGCTGAGTCGTTGCTTAGTCGTGTAAACCTCTTTGCCTGTAATCCTGTACTTGTCGTTTCGTTAATTCTTTTATTTCAATAATTTTGACCGCTTTCGTGGCAGTGTCTCACTCTCACAATGAAAATATTGCCTGCTGCACTGGGACCGAGGAACGTCCCCTATTTCACGTGGCCACCGGTGGACAAAACCCAATTTACTTGTTATGTATTGAAGATATTTTGAGCATTCTGACACGTGATAAGTAAAGCCGAAAACCCACAACTTCACAGTCGGTGCCATTCGCCAGCAGGCCTTTGTTGTATCGCACGGCGAAAAGAAAACAGTTCTTCCTTTATTTCGTGATAAATGTCTTCTATAACCAGGGAAAGGTAGTTGGGGTTCACTGTGGAGAAATATTCGTCAATTTCTGTTCTCGTAAACTTATGACCTTCAAATTTTACTCGTTAATTACCTGCCTGTGTCGTAATTCAAACTCAATTTCCTCCGGGAAACGTTCCTCGATTCACCTGCAGTATGTAGTATTATAAACAAGGGGGAAAACCCGGGGTTATGTTATTCCTTTGAGGTGTCCCCACAATGAATGGTTCGCGGAGCGACGCTCATAATAGCGCCTACGACGCGCTGAGTAGGCAGACCCGCCTAGCATCTGTGTGAAGACGGCGGCCTGCTCAAAGCGCCTAAGTGCGAGAGCATCGAACATTCGACACCCAACGGACGGCGTTCATTGTCGGGACACCGTATTAAAGGCCTGCCAAATTCGCTCAGAAGGCATATTTTTTCGTATTTTATCCGAAACTTTTAAATTTTATACAAATTGATTTCTCCATAGCTTCGCGTTTGCAACTTCTGGGCACTATAAGAATAGTATTCAGTGATTTACAAAAAGTTGCGCTCAGTTGTCATTACTGTTCGCGTGAGCGGTCTCTTCCAATGTAAACAAGTTATTTAGTAGAGTAGACAAAGAGAACCCACGGCTAGCTATTGTCAATACTACTTCACTTCTCGGTACACCAATTGACGTGTATGCCATAACGATTTTTATCGACTATAATTACTACAATAGCCTGAAAAACATGCCTGAAATCAGCGTTAATACCCGATCTAATACATGCCTGAATAAAAAATCTCGGGTTTTTAGCAGAGGAGTAATACAACTCTCAAACACGTCTTGGTTTGTCAAAAGTATAGTCTAGCCCCAGACACAATATCCAGCCAGTCGATAGCTAGTTCTTGCTGCAAATGATTAAATTATTCACGTGGTTAGTTTAAATCTGGTGACATTTCATGTGTCAAAGCAATACAGTAAACTGAAAACGTCGCACCCCAGGTAGCACAAACATATCCAGGGTTTATCGCCCGGCAATCGCCGGCGATTTTTATTTTTCGCCGCGATATCGCCGGCGATGTTTTACGGATATGAGGTTTGGCACAAATAGCACCGTCGCCTCGATGTCGCCTGATGACAAAGATTCGACAACTTAGGGGCGACATCGCTCGAGCACTATCGCCGCGACGAAGCAAGCGATGAAATGGCGACAGACTTTTCAACGGGTCTCGAACGATGTATGTCGCCACTATAGGGAATCGATGTAGATAGTAATTGATTGCCGATGTAGTATCGCCTGGCTATCGCTAGTCTTTCCGTTTGTGCATGTGCCCGTGGCGAGAACTTTGAGTTATCCGAGCGATACAAAAGTTAAAGTTATGTCAAAAATGTCGTCGCCTAGACATCGCCACGTTTGCAAACCGGCGGTATATTTTAGGCGATAAAGTAGCGATATTCAGGCAATATATATTCGGAACTATAATTCGATAAAAAAAATTGAAAGAATTTACCTTGGCTAGATTCGAACCACATACCTTTGTGTTACTGGACAGCTGCCTTGACCATTCAGCTACGAGGTACCCGCTGAGAGCCGGGCGTCAGCTACCGGTGTGCCTCTCTTTCTCGGGGACTTTCCCGCCCGCGAGCGACAGACCAGCAGACCAGCGAGTCGGCTGAGATATCTTTCAGATATCTCCAAGTCATCGCCTGGGCGAAAATGCGTGTGGAGGACTTAGCGAAATTCGTCAGCCGTGCGATACTAGTAGCTTGCTAACCAGAGAATATCTGACAGATATCCGTACATGTGCGTATTTGTGGTTAATATTGGAGATACAGAAAGAATAGCGCCTCGATATCTACCCCGCATCAGTGCTACGATCATGTCGCCGAGTTATCACCACATTGCTCTCGAGGCGCTAGCCCAGGTGTTCTCTCGCCAGGTCAAGATATCGCCAGCTTATCAAAATATTTCATGCAAGCAATAATTCTTTTTCATCTGGTGAGCGACATACTTTATCCCATATCGCGGCGATAACTCTAGGCACCAAAAGTTAATTTGGTGGAAAGTTGCACAGCGCATAGTTATCGGAAAATTATCGCCTGAGCGTCATCTAATGACGGATATCCTAGCGATAGAGTTTTGGCGAGCATTAATTTGATCCTATTTCCATATCTACTAGTTATCGTGTCACCATCGCCAGGGCGAAAACGCAATCGGTAGGTCGAGGCGATAAACGTAAGCGACAGCATGGCGACATCTGGTACATTTTATTTAGAGAATATCGAACAGATATCCACAAAAATATGTATTAAAGTAGACATCGACAGGATGTCGCCTCGCTCTCCGCCAGGCGACAGTGTTTATATGATATCGCCAAGTCATCGCCGCTCCAACCTCCAGGCGACTCATCATCGCCCGATATCGCCGTGCTACATGGGACACAGCAGTATTTCTAAGTGGTCGTTAAAATGCAACGTGACCTAGGGGGATTACAAATCTGATGGCCCCTCATTACACCGTCCAAAAAGGCGATAGCGGAAAGTTGCCGTTTAATGTGACTTACCGTTTCAGGTGCCACTTGTGTATCATCACTCCACAACAATACCGAATTGAAATCGTGATGCACGGATAAAAGAATAAGTCGTCAGAAATAATGAACTAGCAATTTAGGGATAGACAATCCGAAATTCACTGTAGCAGCTAATAGTTGGTTGCCAGAAGCAAGAGTTAGTTGCTTAAGCAAACCCGTACCTGCACGAGCCAACTGGTCCGTTCTGACAGCAAAACACCCAATAAGCTTTCAGAACGAAACGGTTGGCTTCTGCAGCTACAGATTCGCTGTGGCAACTCTTGTCTCTGGGAACCAACTATTAGCTGCCACAGCGAATTTGTTGCCTTCCAAAATTAGCTAATTCCTTTGTAGATCTGGCATCTAATTCTTTTTTTTTCGTGCGATGCCCTTTTGCACGGTGTAGATTTCGGATCACCATTCCAGTTCGTAGATATCCTATGATATTCGTACCCCGAAGTACAAATACCATGGTGTCTCTCATAAACTGCTTTCGTGATTCTCAAGCGCACGGCGTCATTGTATTTGTGCACCCGCTATCTGTGGGAGGTCCCTGTGTTACTTTGCATTGGAGCGACTCATTATGTTAGGAGCTCGAATGTTATTTCGCGACATTAGTCAAGCTTAGATCCGCCGCGCAAACATTTAGAGAAAATAAAAAGAGAGATATGAAACTGCACTTGTAGATTTCATTTTGTAGTAAATGATTGCAAATAATTTTTGCTAGTTTGCCGGCTGGAAGTCAATCAACTACTAAATGCAGCATGTGAAACTGTCAAATATGATAAAATTAATGAAATATAACGCCAGTCCGTAAGTAGACACCATCTCTTAACGGTACAGGGGTGGACTAGCAGTAATTTAGCCATTACATGTTTTCCGTTAACCCCTTGACTATTCTTGTTTTCAGACTGGTAAGTAAAGCGTATTTTACATGTTTTCTCCAGAATCTCGTACTAAGATGTGAAGTCAATTGAACAGAGTGTCATGGGGCTCTTTATCTCTTGTGTTTCGATATTTTCTAATAATCTGGTATTGTATTCTGCCTTTGCAAGTTGTGGAAAGCACGAGTATTGTATTTGGAGTACAATTTATGCTTTGTATGTAACCGTAAAATTTTCCGTGTCTGTTTCCATATTCTTTATTGGCTGCGATCTTGCTAGGTGCGAACACAATTTTTGGAAGTAAGTGAAATATTTCCGCATTATTTTGCGTGACTTTTGTTTAGACAGCACTGCATGTTGTGCTAGACTGCCGAACTGCATGGACGAGACCAAAGACATGGAATTTGACTTATCATCAGACTTCCGAACTCATACCAGCTGCACAATCACCAACTCCACTGTGTTGTGTTGTTGTTTTCACCCTTGGCAGCCCTCAGAAAGAAGATTTTTCAAGTCAAGACGGGTAATCCTTTAAAACCGCAAGATGGAATCCTACTTAGATTTTTAGGAAAGTTAATCTTCCCTACCTTAAAAGAAGAACCACTCTATTTCCCAATTTTAGATCAGCAATCTCCATCCTAATCCTAACCAGCGTCAGCAAAGGTCAGTGTTTTACGAAGGGTACTTTGTGAAAGTATAAAGAAACAATTTAGAATAGATGCCGGCTGCTGCTCAAAGCTAAAAAGCCTACTTTTGTTATAGGAGCAAAAGCATTTTAAGTGCTGCAAAAATATTTAGCTGAGTTATTTAGAAAAATGTAAGATTAGTTCATTTGACTACAAAGCAGGTAGACCTTCATTGAACTTAATTATCTTTCAAATAACCGAAAAGTTTACATTTTGCATTTTACATGGCATTTAGAAGCCTAACCAGATTTGCAGCAAAGCTTTAGACAAAGGCTTATTTTTAAAGCGCGGATGCAGAAAAAATATAATTTTCGGATGAATTTTAAAATGTTGACAATCTACAGAGCAGGTTTTTTTGTGAGTTGGTTATCCCTAGTTTCACAGAAAATGTTTGAGGCAAGTGTGAGTGTGTGTGTTGTAGTTTATTTTGACATTTGCATGTGCATGTCAACAAACGCCTGTCAAAAAAGAGAGGGGGGGCAGTCCTCCATGATGAGCGTGAGTGTGTGTGCGTGTGTGTGTGTGCGTGTGGGAAGAAGGATCAGAACAGGTGGGGTTGCTGGGAGAGAGTTCTGTGGAAGGGCTCACAGACTTAAATGTTATCGCATCTATGTGGCATTGTGTGGAAGTGTCAGCGAGTGCAAGGGAGCAAGGGGAGTGATTGTGTTGATGTGGTGATCTAGTTATTTGTTAGTGCTGCTACTTCTGCCGCGAAACCCTCTAGCCTACCCCTGTCCTTTACTCCCCAATTTACACCCCGAGCACTGGACAGTATGCTTCTCGCCCCGAGCCGAGCTCCGCCAAAGCTTAGTTAAGGAGGACCATCTCACTCGCAGCTCAATCATAATAACTTTAAATAAAGGACTCGTGCACTTTGCACGACAAATTAACTTTCCCGGCAAGAAATAAAAGTCGATCGACGTCGAATCGACGTCAATGTAGCTCAAAAGATGTAACTCCCAATCAATTTGAGTTACCGGGGTCGAATTGACATCGGATCTACGTCGGAACAATTTTCATTTCTGGCTGGGCTTGCTCGGCATTTTGTCACAAATGGCAAAAATAGAAATGTGCCAGTCTTCGTCAAATATTCGTTTAAAAATATTGTGCGGTCACATTGGCATTGAATGTGGTCTGTGATTTGAGCTACTCAGTGAGCTAATGTGTCCTTCGGCGTGAAGTTACGACTCTCTTATTCTGCAACGACTGCATGCGGAAAATGGCTTGACCCAGGAGAGGCCCCCGGCCCCGCGACGCCATGCAGTACCATCCTCAGCACCACCAGTCCGTAGCGCGGTACAGAAGTAGGGAAGCCATGAACCACCACGCTACACCCGAGCAGGCCGCCGTAGACATGGTGGATAAAATGTCCATTTTGCCTCCGGGCCTAGCGGGCTCGATGGCGACGCTCAGGTAAGGACGTCGACTCGGTGCGGGCTTTGGCCCTCTTCTGCTCCTTCGAGGAGGAAGAATTAGTTAGGGTTCAAAGGAAAGGAAAACCATGCCCTTTGCCCAGGTCTCCGTCTATATAATGCAGTTTATTCTCGAAAACTGTACGTATTTGACGAGGCTGTGACGAATTTACTCCGGACTCAAGCTGACTGGACGATTATAGGCAGTCGAGCCGCCTAGTATCGCCTGCGCCTAGCATTTAAACGTATTCGTAATTGTTTTGCCTCCCTCGTACAAAGTGCCTGTGGCTTCCTTTCTTAGTTTCATTAGCATCATTTCATTTTCAAACAACTCACTGAAATTGCTGGAGTAACTTGTCTGAAAGAGTGATGATATTTATTGCTGCCCAATTGGAGCGACGTTTGTTTTTGATGCTCGATTGATGAGCTTCGCTGGTAGAACACGCTGTCAAAATGATGTCAAAGTGGCCTCATCTTGACGTTCACCGTCGAAATGGCTGCGGCTAGGAAGCCAGATTGAGCTGTTTCTGACGTCAAACTAGGGTCATTGACGAGTTTCTGACGAGTGTGTTCAACCTTGGTTATGAAGTCACTCCATATGAGTAGAGATTTTGGAACGTCGCTCCTTTTGCGAGACGTTCTTCATTCAAATGAGCTATGTTTCAAAAGCATCACTTAAATACAGCGATGATAACAAACATTGCTCTCAGGAGAATTCCGAAATTTTAAGCATTCCGTAGTTTTTCTGGGAGCAGCGCGCGTGACTCCTGCATTAACAGTGCTGTAAAGTGTTTTAGGAATATCTACAAATAATGTTTCAAGTAATCTCACGTGCTTCATAAGTTACATTACAATTGTTTTACAAAGGAAAAAATATTTAACATTCCTCGAATGAAACGTCTTAAATTTGAAATTATGTTATTTCGGGAGATACGGAATATATATATACTGTTGGGCTTCCCTTTGAAAGCGACAGCCAGTGGAATGGGTGCATGCCATAGGATGTGCCATCGCTCTCAAAGGGAGGCGTGCCGAATGCATAGTCTTTTTACTATTCACCTCACTGCTGGACCATCATTTTTACTATTTGCATGAATTGTCGATTCTACACGTTTATCTCGAGCTCCCTCCGTCATTACTTCTAAACTAGTCTTCTGCGGTAGTCGCCCAGTGCGCCTGACAGAGCTAGTCGCATCGCTGCATCCGAGGCACGAGATGGGTGGAGGTAGCGCGACGGCTGTGGCAATGGCCTGCTCGCTGCTCTCTCGCTCTCTATTCGCGGCCAGATCATTCTCGGGCTCGCCTCTTCAGGCTCGCCTCTTCGGGCTCGCCGATTTTGCGGTGGCAGCACTCGCGATGCCTTGCTACATATTGAGCCTAGTTAACTAGACAGCTACAGCACCCCCTTTCCCCTTTACGGCCTCTAGAACGTTACTCACCTAGAACAGTGACATGCTATCACCCGCCCGCTCCCTTCTATGCCCCTATGACCACTCCAATCCCTAATAACCCCTTTCCCTCTCCCTACAAATAACATCGGAATTGCGATGTTGATGACAAAGCGTGTGAAACACAATGATCATACCATTACAATTATTTATTTAAGAATGAAATTATTGACTTACTTGGTCTCGTGAGCAGTGTGAGTAGTAAAAGATTGTGTGGGTAGGCGGCTGTCGGCCAGCCACCTTGGGCCCGATGTGAGTGCGGGGTCTGTCCGCAGTCATGCCGATTCAAGAAGCGCCCTCACCAGGACGTCGAACCACCTGCCACCCGGCGCCCAGGCGGCAAGCCGCAAGCAGCAGTGGGTACTCCAGAACATAATGGATACACATTTACATTTCTTTAGCTCGACTCATTGGCAATCATTTATCTGTCGTAGGGAAATGCACCAGATGCAATCGCTCAAGAATAGAATAGCTCAAGGGGTCAGTGATGATGAACAGACCCACTCAGGTAGCGTATTGTGTGAGTAATCTTTTTATTTTTCTCTTTTTTTAAAAACAAATTACGATGTAGAAAGTCACGTCTTACGAGTGCTTTTAAAACATTGTATTGATTGTTTTGTCACAGTTCCAGAGAAAGGCATTCTCAAAAAGACCTACGGATCCGTCCCCATGGATGGTGGTGACGACTCCACATCTGACAACCAGGAGGTCTTGTCCCAGTCCGATAACTTGCTCAGCTCAGAGGTAACGTCTCTCTTTAAAACGATAGCCTGCTGGCGGGCAGGCCTGCCACGCGGCCGTGTGCGGCGGGACTGCCTACCATGCAGGCAGCCTGCTGGC